GGGCTCGCCTGAATGGCTCAACCCAGCCAGAGGAGTCAAGTTTTCCTGAACCTATGAAACAATGGTCAATTTCCACTACAACAGAAAAACTAATCCGCGAGGAACAAGTTTGTCATTGAAAGTCGAGATTTCCTCGCCGTAGTGTGTTGGCGAGTAAAAAACTTTGGTCACCATTTCCTCGCAGTAGGGTGGTCAAGAAAAGTTTCTGCGAGGAATATTATAATTTCTCACGAAATCTTTTTTACGATGAATATATTCTTTTCTCGTTGTTACTCTTTAGCCTCGATATTTTTCCTCACCTAATCACATATTTTTTTCATCGCTAAACTACAGTTTCCTCGCCAATGATACGTGAATAATATTTAATTTATATATAATAAAAGTTATAAAAAACTATTTTCATCATTGTAAGTATCTTTCAGCGATGAAACTGTTCCTCACCAAAGGTAAATCTTTAACGAGGAAATTGTTTTTCTTCATATGTATCTTTTTCTCATGGAAACAGTTCCTCGGTAAAGGGACTCAAAGACGAGGAAATTTAAATTTATTGTTGTAGGTTGTACCCCATATTCCTCGCCAAAGAAATTCAATTATGAGAAAATTTACATTTATCGATATAGGTTATATGGTCTATAGCGGGGAAAATTACTTATAATGAGGAAATTTTATTTCATCAATAATAATGCTATTACGAGAAAATTGCTCAAAATATAAATAATTATCATCAATTGTCACCACAGTACATCAAAACAATTAAAATAAATAAAGCAAACAAGTTTCTACCATAAATAACAATGCTAGTCTAAAACAATAACAAATACAACATGATCAAAGAAACATTTCTCCAAGTTTAAGTTCACTAAGGATACTAAGATGATGGATGTTGCCTGGAAAAATTAGCCATAAACTCCTCAAATTTTTGGCCTGCTCCTCCAATCTTTGGATTACCTCATTTTGCACATCGATCTTTTGTTGTCGAGTTCCTACAAGTTGTTGGGTCTCTTGAAGCTGTTCTTGCAACTCTTTATTCTTTTCAGACATTTCACTCATCGAAGAACGAGAGAATATTAATGGTGGTGGTCTAGGGCCAAAACCACAACCCTTATAATGTAGTCTGATTTGAATTTGAGAACTTTTGCACAAATTTCCTCATTTGTTCGAGTTCCATCAGGTTGAGTGGTATCTGCTCGCATCTTTATCATTTGATCCTATAAGTAAAAAATATATCCAGTTCAATCATATGCAACTTCTCAACCTAATCAATATAATCCTCTTTAGAACAGTAATATCAGTTTCACCTATATTCTTAAAATATTATAAAAGCATGCATCATTGACACGTTACTTACCCATTTAGAAGTAAAGAACAATTGGACAGCATGGAGATAGGTTATAATATTGGAAGCAAATTGCCTTCTCAAACCAACATTCCAGAACACTGAGCCAAGTATTAACAAGTATTAAAGCAGAGATAGTAGTAAAGAACAATCAGACAACATTGTACTTTGGACTTCTCCAGTATACAAGATTTTGCTTCCAATAACATATTCTAAATTGAGATAGAGTATCTTGTGAAAAGAATCTCAGTGGCTGTGTACCATTAACTGGTCTACTTAGTTGATGAATAAGAGCTTCAACTTCCCTGACAAAGAGTAACAATCTGTGAATTACAGCTACAAGTTTTCTTTAAGTTCATGAATGAGAATTATTACGAATTGATCTCAAGTAATCAAACCAAATATTAGAATCACCTGAATTGATCTGAGTTTTTTTATACAGTAGCAAAGTCCGTATCAAGCCTCTTTTCACAAGCTGGTGTGTTGATTTCCAGCATCCAAGTTGCTGGATTATATCCATCAGTAATGGGAGGGATCCCATGTATCCCCTGGATTAGAAATATAATTGCATATTAATTTTCTCTTCAAATAAAACTAAGTGACAGAGGATTTTCTTATAGCATGAAATTGAATAAATAACTCAGTCTGCAATATTAGAAAAGTTATGTATTGTTATGGGTTGTTACATGTACATCAAAAGGTTGTAAAATGAATGTATTTTTAATAGCCATAAGCTAGATGGCATAAAATAAAAAATGGATTATTTCTATTTATAATAGTTTAATAAATGTTTATTATTTAAACAGAGATCATTTAATTTTGTCACATATCCTGTACTTTGCTATACAAACAGCTTAGTTATGCGTTGGAGTACTAAAGCATCTCCTAAAGGCACACATGCACACACACATGATGTAAAATCCTAAAAATGATACAGTAGGCTCTTCTTGAGAAAAAGTGAGACACCTAGTTGTATCTTGATCTCTGCCCCCCCCCCCCACCCCCAAAAAAAAACATGCACACACACAACAAACAGATGATTCAAGCACATATGGACTGATTTGAATGAGCTCTAAAGTCAAACGGTCCTAAGTTCTGTGCAGTTGGTTTACAAAACGAAACACAAGGAGAAGTCAACAACATTCAGTTTATAGAAATGTTTGCATCCTAACATTTCGTATTGAGCTGTATTATTTGATGAAGGAAAAAATAGCACGGGCAGCATTGCATGGATACTCTTTCTACTAACCTAAAAGTCATAGTCAGATCAGTGGTACATAAAATGCATAAAGGAACACAACCTGAAAGTAGTTCATCATAATTTGTGAGTTTGTACCAAGCGCGCCTCCATATATGACCCGTCCTCCTCTCTTCATAAGAAGTAGCTGCAAGAAAGAAAAGAAGCCATCTAAAGGAGTCAAAAGCTTATGCTTTTACTAAGATAGAACAATAAAATAGGTTATAATGCATACCGCTGTGATTAACCTATTAGGACCAAATCTAGCTAGATTTCTTTACACTTTCCAAACATCATTATTTAAATACTTAAAAAAACAAATATTAATAGGAAAAAAACAAACAGACTAGCTTGCGTGGTGAGAGGAAAAAAGACAGGCAAGCAAAGAAACTTCTGTGACTTAACACTAACAATCATCATAAAATATTAAAATGCACTCAAACGAGAAAAAAAACTAAATAAAAAGTAATTTATACCTCGCTCTTCTATTTTGAAACCAAACTTCCACTTGCCTTGGCCTCAGATTAAGCTGCTTAGCAAGAGCAACCTTCTGCTTCTGCAACACAAAATACCCAATCCTATTAACAACTCAAATTCTACATATAAAAAAATGATAAAAACAAAAGTTTCTTTTCTAAACGGCGGTAAGCTTACCGGGTTGAGAGTATTATGCTCTTTAAAGCTCTCCTCCAAGAACGCAGACTGCTCCTTTGACAACCTCAGCTTCTTCCTCGAGTTCTCATTCTCGTTCTCATCGCTGGCCCTCGAAGACCCTCTTTCCGCTTCCCCATCGCCGGCGAACACGGCGGCTCCGGCAGCGGCGGTCGTGGAGAACTCGACGTTGAAGAAGGAGACTATGCTGTTGGGGCATACGGACACCGTCCTCGCGGTCCCATCCTCTTTTTTTCCTAATTTCTGAAACCAGATAAAAAATAACCCCAAACCTTACACCTCTCGTCCTTGATGCTCGTCGGTGATCCCTCAAGCACCGTCTTCAGATCTTTCACCAGCTTAAATCTAACGAAAAAAAAAATTCGTTAGAGGTAAGGACTATCTCTTCGAATTAGGGTTTTGGAATCCAAAAAGCTCAACTGGAGAGGGCGGCGTCGGCGGTGGAGGGGGGATGAGGGGGATCTCGGCGCGGCGGGAGAGGGATCCGTCTGGGTTGAGCGAGATCTGGAGGTTTAGGTGAGGGGGATGAGCGTGGAGACGAGAGAGAGAGAGATTTGGGGGTTTTTGGATGGAGAGGGGCAGAGCGGAATAAAAAGAGGAGGGAAATAAAAAAATAGCGGGGAAATGAAAAAAAAAGGCTCCTTAAATTTTGTTAGGCAATTGAGCCAGAATTTCTGTATATGTTGATATCACCTAGACGGAAATTCCGTCTAGGTTGAGTACTATTTTAAAAAAAAAAAACTGTCTAGTTTGTCAATCTAGACGGAAATTTTTGTCTACATTGATCAAACTAAACAGAACAAACTAGACGAAATGTTTTCCGTCTATTTACCTCAAACTAGAAAGGAAAAAATTATGTCTAGTTTGTTCTGTCTAGTTTGTTAATTTTTCTACTAGTGTCCAACGGGGGGTTTTTGATGTGTGAGAGAAAGAGAGAGCAGGGCGACCTCCAGGGGCGGCGAGTTCAGGGCTGGTGGCAGGAGGAGAAGGTGCAACGACGGGGGTCTAGGGTTTTATTGATGTGTGTGTGTGAGAGAGAGAGAACGGGGCGGATTTGGAGTTTTTGTTTTGTTTGTTCAATTTTCGCGAAAATAAATGGGGGGAAATTTCCTCTGTTTTGCGTGTAGGATAAAATAATTTTTCACTAAACTAATAACGAGGAAACTTTTACTTCCTCACTAATTGATTCTTTTATCGATGAAATGGTTCCTCCTAAAACAAAAAAAAAAATTAGTGAGGAAACCTTGAATTTGTCGTCAATGAATTTAGCAGGTGTTGCATATTTTTCCGTCAAATTAATAATGGGGAAACTATAATTTCCTCGCTAATAGTTTCTTTTTTACGATAAAACGGTTCCTCGTAAAACAAAAACTTTTAGTGAGGAAGCTTTAAATTTGTTGCTATTGAAATTGGCCGTTTTTAGTGAGGAAACTAAAACGGTTTTGCATATTTTTCTGCCAAACTAATAATGAGGAAACTATTATTTCCTCGCTAATTGGTTTTTTTAACGAGGAAATAGTTCCTCGTAAAACAAAAATTTTAGTGAGGAAACCTTTAATTTGTCGTCAATGAATTTGGCGAGTGTTGCAAATTTTTTCGCCAAATTAATAGTTAATTTCCTCACTAATAAGTTCTTTTTAACGAGGAAACGGTTCCTCATTAAAACAAAAACTTTTAACGAGGAAGCCTTAAATTTGTCACCATTGAAATTAGCGGGTTTTTTTTTTTTTGCCAAACTAATAATGAGGAAACTATTATTTCCTCGCTAATTGATTCTTTTCACGAGGAAACGGTTCCTCGCAGATTATGGATCTTTAGCGAGGAAATCATACTTTGTCGCTATTACATTTAGCGGGGTTTTCTCTATTTTCTACCAAAAGAACAACGATGAAATGATTATTTCCTCGTTAAATGTGCATTTCGCGATGAAAAGTTCATCACCAAAGTCTCATATTTCCTCGCCAATAAAATAACTAGTTAGGAGACCAAATCATGATCATCTTTAGTGAGGAACTAAAACTTTCATCGTAGAATGTGGTCTACTGTGAGGAAAATATATTTCTCGTAGAAGACCTACTGATATTTACCGAGGAAATAATATTTTCCTCGTTGAAAGTGATATTTGTTGAGGAAAAATAATTTCTCGCAAAAAAGTTGGTCGCTAAAAGACATGTCTGTTGTAGTGTAAGTAGGAATATCAATTCCTTAATAAGTCAATTGGGAAGAGCAATTCCCACATTAAGTGCGAATTGATAAGAAGTGAGAATGACATTTCTAGCATCCAAAAACTTATTATGTTTGGTAAGCATGAAGGAGAAGTTTGAGTTGCATTCCATTCCCACTCATTCCTGCGTACCAAACGAGGCGTAAAATGTTATGCCTATGAGGGGTATGGACATTATGTTTATTAGCACCCTACTAGCCGTCTTCACATTGATAAAGTACTTTATAGCCATGAAAAGCATGATGATGAGACCAATGATCCTGAGACTAATGTAGAAGTCTATGTTATTGAGGATGGTTCTAGTGTTGCTAAGAATATTCTAGGAGACACCGACACACATGTACACATTTTTAGGTATTCATTTGTTTCACCTAGAGATGAGGTAGATTGGCAAAGGACTAATATCTTTCGCACCTATTTTAAAAATAAGGAATTTTTTTTATAAACTAATGATTGATGGAGGCAATTATGTGAACGCCAAAGATATGTTAACGTTAACACCAGAACCTCATACCCAAGCATACAACATAGCTTGGGCTGATAAGACTGCATTCACTATTACCCAATGTTGCTTAGTGTCTATTCAGATGTTAAGTTATGAGGATTGTATCTGGTCTGATGTTATTTCCATGCATGTTGCATATATTATTTTGGGTAGGCCTTGGTTGTATGATTTAGATGTGACTAGCTTTGGAAAAACTGATACTTATGAGTTTAACTTCAAGAGAAGAAAGATAGTATTAAATATTTCATGATCTAAAATGCCTAAAGAAATTTAAAGGGATAGGCTAGCCGGTTCTAAAATAAGTAACAAACATATTCATCTTTTGAATAAGAGTCCTTTTAGAGAGCCAGAGCTTAGTTTGCATGAGTTTAGGATAAATCTTACCATACACGTTGAGTCTTTTGCATTGCATTTGCATGAATATATTGCATATCGAGATCTATAGCAGTATAACAATAATGAATTATATTTATGAGTTCTCTATAGAATCTAATAGGTAAATGCAGGACCCTTCAGTTGAAAACATGATTGTGATTCTAGCTCAATCTGAGAGGTTGAGGAAACCTTTTATCAAATTGAAGGATTTGCATGGTGCTCCGGAAAAAAAAAATTAAATTCCATGGCTATAAATTGGGTATCTCACGAGGATTTGACATTAGCTTGATGTCTGGCAACAAATTAAAGGTTGATTTCTTATTAGGTCCTTGCGAATTACTCAACAGCCACTTTGGAGATAGTACCCTTGCTTCAGAGAAGCATTCGTTATCATTTCTACTAATGGCAAGTTTATGGGATTCATAATTCCCTGGTTCAATAGCATGGACATCCGGAGATGATACAAATGGCAAGTTTATAAGTACACAATTTTTGTTTGAGTGTTCATTTTGGATTTGATTGTTGTTTGATGTTGCAGGTGCTTGATAGAATCACTCTTAATTAAGATGCAACAATCAATTAATCAGGGATCTTGTGTGATTTTATCAGCGAGTAGTAGAGATTCAATTGTTTTTAGATCCTACGCGTATTTATATACTGTGTAAGAGATCTTGAAGTCTCGGGTGAATTCTAGTCACAACTCTTGATTTTAGTTGATCAATCTTGCATTCTATACATCTGTAGGAAATTATAATTATTCTTATGACTGTTATAACTTTGGATCTTATTTTGTGTCTGTATTGTCATTTTAATCATTTATTATTAGGATTTGCTTTTACATTTAGTTGCATACATTCAATTTAATTCTGGATTTAATTGCATTAGTTTGTCTACTTGAATTCATGTTGCATTCGTGCTCCTTATTGTCTTGTCATGCGTCAAGTGTTAACTTAAAAGAGCTTTTCGGTCCCTTTATCATTTCCATTTAGGTCTAATTCTTTTTGCATCAATTGAGTCTTAGTGGATTGATTTCGTTCCTTCGCCATTGATTGGGCTTTGTAAATTCAACAGAAGAGGTGATATGAAATCTGCCTAATCAAATATCTTTTTTCAGAAAAAATAAAATAACAACAATAAGGCACTTATATCTTATTATGATAGATTAGGGGGTTTCTCTTTTTCATGCTTCATTCGAATTCAAGAGAAAATGAGTTTTAATACAGGTTCCACTAATAATTTCCCATCAGACCTGTTCACAAACCATATTTTCCTATTCGGTTGCTAGACTCCAAAATGAGAAAAATGATTGGCTTTTGTTCGCATATCTCCAAAGTTAGGTTGACAACAACTAAAATAGTTGGATTCGGATCCTCT